GTTTTCCACCACCACCCCTTGACCACCCAACATTCTGGGGGAGGGGGGTAAAAAGGGAAGCCACGTTGACCTCTTGTGTGCTGTCATGACCTCATGGACCAGAGGACCCCAGTTATGGGATTGCCCATGATGTTACTCTCCCCTTCCTATGCCCCCTTTCCTTTGCAGACCCCTTCAAGCTTCTTGCTTGATAAGGAGGTAAATATCTCAGCAGCTTCCCGGCTTCCCGGAGGGCTTAAAAAATGTTTGCTTGTCAAAGGAAACGGGATCTATTGCATGCAAGAAAGAGGATTTTGCCTGAGGCGCCCCGCCTTCCTTCTTACTCGATTCCTCATTTGTTTCTGTTCAGCCTTCATTGGGAGCCTCCACCCTTCACCGAAACCTGATTTTTAAAGAGACCCGTGGCTGGGAAGTCTAGAATTTCCTTGGGGGTCCGATGCGGGCAATGGGGTTGGATAGAAGGGAACAAGCACCACTCAGATGTCAAGGCAGCCATCCTGCAGTTGCTTCTTTCTGCAACCACAATAGGATAGAATAGGATAGGATAGGATAGGATAGGATAGGGATGGGGAATAGAATAGAATAGAATAGAATAGAATAGAATAGAATAGAATAGAATAGAATAGAATAGAATAGAAAATGTAGAATAGAATAGAACAGAACAGAATAGAATAGAATATGGAATGGAATAGAATAGAGAATATAGAATAGAATGGAATGGAATAGAATAGAATAGAAAATATGGAATAGAATAGAATAGAATAGAATAGAATAGAATAGAATAGAATAGAATAGAATAGAATAGAATAGAATAGAAAATATGGAATGGAATGGAATAGAATAACAGAATTGGAAGGGTCCTTGGAGGTCTTCTAGTCCCACCCCCTACTCAGGCAGGAAACCCTATCCCATTTCAGACGAACGGTTGTCCAGTCTCTTCTTAAAAACTTCCAGTGTTGGAGCATTCACAGCTTATGGAGGCAACTTGTCCCACCAATTAATTGTTCTGTCTTTTTTTTTTTTACATCTACTTTACACCTCTGGGATTTCCTGGTGGTCTCTCTTCCAAGCGCTGTGAGTCAAACCAACTCCTGGCTTTTCTGCTCCCCACAGGTATGCATTTCACAGTTCTTCCTGGCTGGTGGCGGGCAAAGCCGATCCTGCCACGCCTGGGAGGGTGCACTATCACCCGGATTCGCCAGCGAGGGGCGCTCAGTGGATGAAGCAAATTGTGTCCTTTGACAAATTGAAGCTGACCAACAATTTACTGGATGACAACGGGCATGTAAGTGGTGGCTGGGAAAGGGAGAACCAGGGGCAGCTGGGGAGATTGGGAGTCATGAATATCACCCCTAGCACTACCACCATCCCCATTTATTTAATCAATTTAGATGCCTGCCTATTTCACAAATGTGGCTCTGGGCATCTCCCAACACATGAAAACAATAGCAAGACCTTAAAACAATTTTTTTTTAAAAAAATGTTAGCAAAAAAGGGTTTAAAGAAAGCAACAGTGGTCACATAAAACAAATCACTTTTATCTTAGGTCAAGTTTCTCTAGCTTTTATGTTCTTTTTTGTACTTGTTCAAGGTAATTCTTTGTATCTAGGTGTTTTCCTGTCACTGTTACAATCGGGTGACATTCCAATTGATTGAATGAGTGATCGAGTGATTGAATAAATGATCCATTCAAATTCTTCCCGAATCGATCAAGAAACTATTGACCAGATCTACTGGGCTACAACAGATCTGTTGTGTTACGACAATGTGTCTAACATCGGCCTGAACTGGCCTTGAAAATTCAGCAGGATTAAGACTTGTTTGGAAGACTCAAAATTGTGGGCTAAACTGGAAAGCTTAAATGGTTGAAAAATTGAATAATTGAAGGACAGAATGAGCAGGTTGTCCTGTGGAATTCTTCCCAAATTGATCAAGAAACTATTGACCAGATCTATTGGGCTACCATAGATCTATAGGGTTACAACCATGTGTATGCATCTTATCGGCCTTAACTGGCCTTGAAAATTCAGCAGGATTAAGACTTTGGTTGGTAAACTCAAGGTTGTGGGTCAAACTGGGAAGATGAAAATACATTTCTGACTTAAAGCATCTACTACGTCAGGGGTCTTCAAACTTGGCCCTTTTATGACTTGTGGACTTCAACTCCCAGAATTCCTCAGTCAGCATGCCTGGCTGAGGAATTCTGGGAGTTGAAGCCCACAAGTCATAAAAGGGCCAAGTTTGAAGACCCCTGTCCTATGCCTTTTAAAACTCAAACCATAGCTTTCCCAATGAAAAAAATAGCTCATTGTTTTAAACCTTGGGGATCATCTCCCCCCAGAAAGATGCTCTTCAGATCCTTCCTCTACAACAGAAGATGATGATGGGTGAGGTGTCCACCACGTTGGCTGGGAACGATGGGGCTTGCTGTGTCGTGCAGCTGCAAAGTTGTAGAGTAGGGTTTTCCAACTTTGGAGGTCAACTTCCAGAATTCTGCAAGTTGAAGTCCACACCTGTTAAAGGGTTGAGGAATCCCTACTCCACAACTTTGCAGCTGCATGACACCACCAGCTCCATCGTTCCCAGCCAACACGGGGGAACACCTCCCCCATCAACTTCTTCTATTGTAGAAGAAGGATGTGAAGAGTTATCTTTTTTGGGGAGGGGGAGATGATCCCCAAGGCTTAAAACAACGAGCTATTTTTTCCCCAGCCAACATGGTGGACAAGTCCCCCGTCCTTCTTGCCAAGCCGAGCTGGAGCAAGCTGCCTTTGAAGTGGCCATTTTGTGAGGTCTCCTCCTCTTTCTCTCCTCCGCTACCGCCTCGATGTGGCCGAACGGACCAGTTATACGATTTCCCTCGCTCGTTTTGTTATTCAGATCATTTTGAACTCCATGCACAGATACCAGCCCCGTTTCCACGTGGTCTACGTGGACCCGCGGAAAGACAGCGAGAAGTACGCCGAGGAGAACTTTAAGACCTTTGTCTTTGAGGAGACCCGATTCACTGCCGTCACGGCCTACCAAAACCATCGGGTGAGTATCTGGAATTAATTAATGAGACGTAGTCATTTATCAACGCCCGCCTGCCCTCGCCTTAAAAGCCACCTTCCCCTGTCCAGAATATCTCCATCTTAGTGACATGATGGATGAAGAGCCGGAAAAGAGAAAGTAGGAGCTCGTTGGGCCCAGTCAATCAACCAAACTTTGCTTGTTTCAGTGGGAATTTTTTTTTTTTTTGGGTGCAAATCTCTTAAAGGCGACGCCTTCCTGTTTAAATCATCTCAGATGTGAGGGACTGGAGGGAAGAATTAAGGCAGCTTGCAATCAGAATCTGGCTAATTAAAATTAGGCTTTCTTCTCCAGTTTTAGCAACTCTCTGGGGTTGCTAAATGGGGTTCCTTCACCCATCTTGGCAGGAAAAAGAAAGAAAGGACAAGTGTTTAGGATGCCAGCCCAAACAGATGTCGGTCGAAAAAGAAAAGAAATGATTTATTTGTAACTAGCCTCTTTGGTTGAGTAGTTGATGTGCTCCCTCCCCGAAGAAAATCAGAACAATTTTGGGATCTGTTTCACAAACCAAATCTCTTTCCAGATAGTCCTTGACTTACGACAGTTCCCTTAGCAATGGTTCGAAGTTAGAATGAGACTGAAAAAAGTGCCTTATGACCGTTTTTTCACACTTGTGACCGTTGCAGCATCTCCTTGGTCATGTGATCAAAATTTGGACGCTTGGCAACTGGTTCATATATATGACGGTCGCGGCATCCCGGGATCATGTGAATCCCCTTTTGTGACCTTCTGACAATGGGGAAGCCAGATTTATTTAACAACCGTGTTATTAACTTAATTGCAATGATTCACTTAAGGTCGTAAAATGGGGCAAATCTCTCCTGACAAATGTCTCGCATAGCAGCAGAAATTTTGGACTCCGCTGTGGTCGTAAGTCGAGGGTTACCTGGGCTCTGAACGTCATCAGTGCTAGGAAGGAGTGTGGTTTTCTACTGATGATGTTACGTAGCTGGGTAATGAAAGGTCTACAAGAAAACAACATAGTACAGAGAGCACCAAGGACTCCTCATCTCTGGAAACAGGACATCCCACGAATTCTTCCCCCCAGGAGAGAACTGATGGAAAAACATCAAAGCAGACTCTGGAAAAAACTGATCAATTTTGCACCCCCCGCGCCCCTTAATCCAGAGGTCCCCAACCTTTTAGGCACCAGGGACCGGTTCCGTGGAGAGAGTTTTTTCCACGGACCGGAGAGTTTGTGGTGTTTTTTTTTTATAACAAGTTTTTATTGATTTTCCAGTTTTACATTTAAGTATTTGGAAAGCAGCATGGTGTTATGGTACCATAACAAAATCTTTAGTACATATCTCAGGTTACATCGTCAAAAAATTCCTTCTCTATTTCCCTTAACATTTACTGTATCATATTTAAGCTAATAGGTTTCTAGTTGTAACAAGCTCAGTTAAAACATTTATCCTTATATTTTTGCTTATACATATTCATATCCTGCATTTGAATTTTAGCTAATTTTTAATTAGAATATTCCAATTTAACCTTTAATATCCATATATTTAAATTCCGGATAACCCAAATTTCCTTTATTTCGCTCTATAAAAATTATAATATCTAAAGTATGCCGATTACTTACTTGAATATATTCTTATTTTATTTCATAAACATTTTCTATTTCTCATCCTAGTACATTACTACTTGCTAATGGAATATCCTCCATTGTCTCAAATCCATCATCTGTGCTCTTTGGGCTAAACAAGTTGTGGTTTTGTGCGCTGCCTGCATCCCGTGGATGGGGCTTTGTTTATTTGTGCGGACCGGTTGCTGGCATGCCGCGGACCGGTACCGGTCCACAGACTGGGGGTTGGGGACCCCTGCCTTAATCCATTAAATGGGTGCACTGCTGGGGTGGCCAGTTGTAAGTCCTCCACATAACCCTGGCACATAAAACTCAGACGCTGGGCGTTGATCGTGACATATTCCAGAAGTTTCAGTTTGGTAACATCTGGAACGTTAACGAGGTCCCTCCTAACCATGATATGGGATTGCTAGGCAACTGGCAACCCAGACACCAGATATTTGCACGGAGCATTGTCTTCAGTTGTTCTTATCAGCTTCCCATGCACCCAATTACTATGCCCCAACGAAGCAACGTTGTGTGAATTTGCAGCGGGGGATAAAAACACCGCGTCCCTGCATCTGTTTATACATCTGGGAGATCTTCGTGCCCAGAATGTGCCCATGTAGCCGAGAAAGCCCTTTCATCGCCAAACTCCAAGGATTATGGATTGCTTGTGTCTAATGTGGCCGGCATATTATCAACGCCGGAAGATTTTTTTTTTTGTCTTTCGCAAAGCCCAGATGGCAAAGATGCATCTACAGAGAAGAAAACCATGAAATCAGCAAAGCCCAAATTCCAAAGGAACTTTTAAATGCTTCGAATCGCCGGGCGGTTCAATCAGAAATAGGAAAAAAAAAGAGGCTTCTTTTGTGTTTAAAAAAAAAACTCCTTGGAGACTTTGCAGCCTTCTCTGCAACCAAGAGTCGAAGCCAAGCAGGGCACGGATTGTCCTCGACTTACAGCAGTCGGCTTAGCGACCGTTCAAAGTCGTAAACGGCAGTGAAAAAAAGGGACTTACGACCGTTTCGCCTATTTAACGACGGTTGGGGCATCTCCGCGGTCAGGTGATCAAAATCCAAAGGCTCGGCAACTGGCATGTACTTAGGACGGTTGCAGTGTCCCGGGGATCACGTGATCATCTTTTAAGATCTTCCGACGAGCAAAGTCAACGCGGAAGCCAGATTGACTTAACGACCGTGTGGCTACCTTAACAATTGCAGTGATTAACACTTAACAAGTGTTAGCAAGGAAGGTCGTAAAAGGGGGCAGAATTCGCTTAACAAGTGTCTTGATTAGCGACAGAAATTGTGGTCGTAAGTTGGAGGACTACCTGTACTTTAGAAGAAGAAGAAGTAGAGTCAAAGATGGTCCTACCTGGATCCGAGTTGGTTGACATCGCTGGGATTTAACTCCTATTAGCCTTGTCCAGAGGAGGCTTCTCAGCAAAGCTGCCCTGCTTTGGAAAAGCGGCTTCATCTCTTTCTCGGAAATACGACAAAGGTGTTATGATGGATGTGCCATCTTGGGTCTCCCTGATTTAGAAGGCAGATGATGGTTTGCTTCCATCAAAGGGTAACACATCAGTTTTTAAGAAGAGACTGGACAGCCATTTGTCTCAAATGGTATAGGGTTTCCTGCCTGAGCAGGGGGTTGGACTAGATGACCTCCAAGGTCTCTTTCAACTCTGTTATTCCATTCCATTCTATAATGTTCTATTCTATTCTGTTCTGTTCAGTTTCATTCCATTCTATTCTATTCCTTATTCTGTTCTGTTCTGTTCCTTATAATGTTCTATTCTATTTCTTATTCTATTCTATTCTGTATTTTATTATTCTATTCTATTTTATTCTCTATTCTATTCTATTCTGTATTTTAATATTCTATTTTCTATTCTATTCTCTATTCTCTATTCTCTTCTATTCTGTATTTTATTATTCTATTCTGTATTTATTATTCTATTCTATTCTATTTTCTATTCTATTCTCTATTCTATTCTGTATTTTATTATTCTATTCTATTCTGTTCTGTATTTTATTATTCTATTCTATTCTATTCTATTTTCTATTCTATTCTCTCTTCTCTTCTCTTCTCTTCTCTTCTCTTCTTCTCTTCTCTTCTCTTCTATTCTATTCTGTATTTTATTATTCTATTCTCTTCTCTTCTCTTCTATTCTGTATTTTATTATTCTATTCTATTCTATTCTATTCTATTCTATTCTATTCTATTCTATTCTATTCTATTCTATTCTATTCTATTCTATTCCGGGGAACTCTGGGAGTTGAAGTCCACCCATCTGAGGAATTCTGAGAGTTGAAATCCACACATCTTTACATCTTATGTTCAAAACTCCGAAAGTTCCTTCTGGGAGGCTTATCCAGGAGACTCGCTCTTTTGTGCCCATCAGCTTCTGCAACCAGATAATGTACATTTTGCATCTCCACCAAGTCCTGCAGACTGTCTGAAGAGCTTTCGGCCTCCTCTGTTTTCCCTTAAGCATTTCATCTGCTAAATCCGTTGATGGCTTTCTGAAGGAATTCGATCACCCTGGGAGGCCTGATTCTGGAGAAGCAGAGATCTCTGCTTTCCCTGCCTCCCCCCACCCTCAAAATTGGCAAAACAGCACGACTCGGGTTCAACTGATCTCCCCGTATTATCGGTGGAACCATAGGCAGCTCCCATCCCTTCTCCTCCCCCACCAGTGCAATTCTCACCCCCCCCCAAAGGGAGTCCCTCCCGGCTCTTCCTTAGCGTTGGATAATGTTGGGCCCCCATATTTTTGCATTTGCTCGGAGAAGATCAGCTTTTGTGAGCTGGCTGGGTTAGAATAATAGGGAGAAGTCCTCTACATTTCTGAATTATGCACCAGCATATTTTGCTTTGGTGGTGCATGCATGGAATAGAGAGGTGTATTTTATTTTATTTATTTGTTTTGTTATTTATTTTATTTTATTTTACTTTATTTTATTTTATTATTTTATTTTACTATCTTACTTTATTTTACTTTATATTTTATTATTTTATTTTATTTTATTATTTTATTTTACTTTATATTTTATTTTATTATTTTATTTTATTTTATTATTTTACTTTATATTTTATTTTATTATTTTATTTTATCTTATCTTATTTTATTTTACTTTATTTTACTTTATATTTTGTTTTATTTTATTTTACTTTATTTTACTTTTTAATTTAATTTAATTTAATTTAATTTTATTTTTTATTTTATTTTATTATTTTATTTTATATTTTATTTTATTTTATTTTTTATTTTATTATTTATTTTATTTCATTTTTATTATTTTATTTGTATACTGCCTTTATTAGTTTTACAAATAACTCAAGGTGGTGAACATCTCCAACACACCTTCCTCCTCCTATTTTCCCCACAACAACCTTGTGAGGTGGGTTGGGCTGAGAGAGAGGGACTGGCCCAAAGTCACCCAATCAGCTTTCATGCCTAAGGCGGGATTAGAACTCACAGTTTTCTGGTGATTGGCCCAAAATCACCCAATGGGTTTCAGGCCTAAGGCGGGACAAACTCACCACCTCCTGGTGATTGGTCCAAAGTCACCCAGCTGGCTTTTATGCCTAAGGTGGGACTAGAACTCACCGTCTCCTAGCTTGGTGCTTTAACCAAAAGACCAGGAGTCCCCTATTCGGAATTGGGCCGCGCAAGTAGCTGGCCAGAATGCATGCGTGTGTGTGCACCCAACTCAGTTTGCAAAGCACTATGGCCCCCAAATGAGTCCTGCATGTAAAAATCCTCCCAGGAGGGGGCAGCGCTGACCTGACGTTCCGTGGGTTTTTCAAAAGCAGGGTTGAACTAGGATGGGAGACCACCAGAAAAGCCCAGGGACTGTCGGTTAGGGTGGAAATGGAAAAATCCACCAAGAACATTGCGCAGAAGAAATAGAAAAGAAACCGTGGGGGTTGTGCTTGATTTGAATCTTATGCTTCCTCCTGATGGACTTACGATGCTCTTGCTTTGCTGGGATCACAATTCTCCTTGAACTGATCTGCAGAAGTGCTTGTTGGCCTACATGTCCAATGTGCCATTTCTTGCTAAATATAAGAAAATGGTAACCATGTTTGAGGAGGGGGAGAAGGAGAGGGTGAGGAGGAGGAGGAAGAGGAGATGTTTTCATAATAATGGAGAAAGAAGAGGAGGAGGAGGAGAAGGAGAGGAGGAGGAGGAGGAGGAGGAGGAAGAGGAAGAGGAGATGTTTTCATAATAATGGAGAAAGAAGAGGAGGAGGAGAGGGAGAGGAGAAGGAGAAGGAGGAGAAGGAGAGGGTGAGGAAGAGGAGATGTTTTCGTAATGGAGAAAGAAGAGGAGGAGGAGAGGGAGCAGGAAGAGAGAGAAGAAGAGGAGCAGGAAGAGGAGGGGGTGAGGAAGAGAAGATGTTTTCATAATAATGGAGAAAGAAGAGGAAGAGGAGGAGGAGAGGGAGAGGAGAAGGAGAAGGAGGAGAAGGAGAGGGTGAAGAGAAGGAGATGTTTTTGTAATGGAGAAAGAAGAGGAGGAGGAGGAGGAGAGGGAGCAGGAAGAGAGAAGAGGAGGAGGAGGAGGAGGAGGGGGTGAGGAAGAGGAGGAAGAGGAGATGTTTTCATAATAATGGAGAAAGAAGAGGAGGAGGAGGAGGAGGAGGAGAGGGAGAGGAGGAGAAGGAGAGGGAGGAGAAAGAGAGAGAGAAGGGGGGAGGAGGAGCAGGAGGAGGAGGAGGAGGAAGAGGAGGAGAAGGAGAAGATGTTCCCAGAATAATGAAGAAAGAGAAGGGAAGGCTATTTCCTTTCATAATGGAAATAGTATTGCAATAGTGAAGAAGGAGGAGGTGGAAGAGAAGATTTTTTTTCAAAAGAGGAGGAGGAGGAGGAGGAGGAGGAGGAGGAAAGGAGGAGCAGTGATGGAGCACAAAAAAATTAGGGGAACAATGGAAGCAAAGCGTGAGGGAGGCTGTGCCTTTAAGAAGCGATTTCCAGACTGGCATCTCTCTGATGGCTCAGAACAGCTGCTTATTTTCTCTTCTGCTTTCTATCACTTTGACCTCCAAGGGTTGAACTGTCACCGAGGGGCTTAAAGTTTGTTTTTCAACCCATTCCGGAAACTCACAATCATTATACATTGTCCCTGGATTTGTTTAAATATAAAGGGGTTATAAAGGAGAGAGGGAGGGGGCGAATGTCCTTCCCCCCCTTCATTCTTCCCCCACCCCCCCCCAGTGAATGAAATAAATACTCTGAAGTCTGGATATTTTGCAGGTAATGCGTGCTTTTCAAAATGGGTCTGAAGCTTAAAAGACACCTCGGTCCTGGGGCCAAGAATAAGACCTAAAAGAGCAATAGCAATGGCACTTAGACTTATATACCGCTTCACAGTGCTTTATGGCCCTCTCTTAAGCGGTTTACAGAGTCAGCCTGTTGCCCCCCAACAATCGGGGTCCTCATTTTACCGACCTCGGAAGGATGGAAGGCTGAGTCAACCTTGAGCTGGTCCGGATTGAACTCCTGGCTGTGGGCAGTTAGTTAGCCTACAATGCTGCATTCTAGCCACTGCGCCACCATAGGAATAGAACAGAACAGAATAGAATATGGAATAAGAATAGAATATAAGAATAGAATATAAGAATAGAATATAATAGAATAGAATATAGAATATAGAATAGAATATAGAGAATAGAGAACAGAGAACAGAATAGAATAGAATGAATAGAATTAAAATAGGAATAGAATAGAATTAAAATAGGAACAGAATAGAATAGAATATAAAATATAGAATAGAATAGAATATGCAGAATAGAGAACAGAACAGAACAGAATAGAATTAAAATAGGAATAGAATAGAATAGAATAGAATTAGACAATAGAACTGAACAGAACAGAACAGCAATAGCACTTAGACTTATATGCCGCTTCCTAGAGCTTTACAGCCCTCTCTAAGTGGTTTGCAGACTTTACAGGTTTACAAGCAACACAATTTATAGTTGAGAAACTGAGAGGTGATAATCCATATGGCGGGTATTCAAAACCAGCAACGTTGACCGCAGCCGTTTTCAAAAGAGCTGCATGCAAATACGGGCAGTTCCCACCTTACAGTGATTTGTTTAGCGACCGTTCACAGTTACAACTGCACTGACAAAAGTGACTTAGGATCATTTCCCAGACCTAACAACCGTCGCAGTCAGCCCCATTCAGGCGCTTGGCAACCAACTCATATTTATGACGGTCACTGTGTCCCGTGTGTGTGTGTGTGTGTGTGTGTGTGTGTGTGTGTGTGTGAAGCGATCTCCTTTTGCGACCTTCTGACAAGCACAGTCAATGGGGGAAGCCGGATTCACTTAACAGCCGTGTGACTAACTTCACAACTGCAGGGATTCGCTTAAGAACAAGGAAATGGTGAGATGACTCTAAAGCCGTTTCCCTATTTCTCTCCTTCAGATCACCCAGCTTAAGATTGCCAGCAATCCATTTGCAAAAGGATTCCGGGATTGCGATCCTGAAGATTGGTAAGCCTGTTTAAATTGGTTCTTCTCTTCTACAACGTGAAATAGAACACAGGACAGAATAACAAGAGTCGGAAGGGAACCTGGAGGTCTTCTAGTCCAACCCCCTGCTCAAGCAGGAGACCCTATGCCATTCCGGACACGTGGCTGTCCAATTAGCTTCTTAAAAACCTCCAGTGTCAGAGCACCCACAACTTCTCAAGACAAGTTGTTCCACTGATTAAGTGTTCTCCAATTAATTAAGCATTAACTAACAAATGGATTAATTGGTCCGTCCCGGGCTTGACTCAGATGGGGAACTTAATCTGCTTGTACAAAAATACGATTCATACAAAAACAGAGCCTCCTCTGCAAGGGAGAGATTTTCCCTCTGTTCAATCACAGAGTAGAACAGTCTTCTGATTTCCCCCCCCCTTTCCTCCCCCCCATAACAGGCCTAGGAATCACCGACCAGGAGCCCTGCCTCTCATGAGCGCCTTCGCGAGGTCGAGAAATCCTGTGTCTTCCCCAGTGCATCAAAATGGAACGGACAAAGGTGAGTCTACCTGCATGCTGGGCCTAGGATAGTCACAGCTGCACAGGAAAAAAGTAGCCCAAAAGGGGGAGCTTAGTCATTTCCTTATGGATAATTCCTTGCCCATCACCCCCAGTCATCTAATGCTATATCTATCTATCTATCTATCTATCATCTATCCATCCATCCATCCATCCATCCATCCATCCATCCATCTATCTATCATCTATCTATCTATCTATCTATCTATCTATCTATCTATCTATCTATCTATCTATCTATCTATCATCTTATCTATCTGTCTCTGTGTCTATCTAATCTCCATCTATCATTCATTCATCTCTCTCCATTTGCTATCTAGATGTTTCTATCTCTATCAATCATCTTATATTTTTATCTATATCAATCTTCAATCTCTATCTTCTCTATCTTTCTATCATTTATCATTTATCATCTATCTGTCTGTCTATATGATCTCTATATTATTCATTTATCTCTCTATCATGCTATCTCGCTGTTTCCATCTCTATCAATCATCTTATATTTTTTATCTATCAATCATCAATCTCTATCTTCTATCTTTCTATCATCTATCTATCATTTATCATCTACCATCTATCTATCTGTCTGTCTGTCTATATAATCTCTATATCATTCATTTATCTATCTTGCTATCTCGTTATATCGCTATCTCTATTAATCATCTTATATCTATTTCTTATCTATCTCTCTATCATCTATATCATTCATCTATATCTTATCTTATCTATCTATCTATCTATCTATCTATCTATCTATCTATCTATCTATCTATCTATCTATCTATCTATCTATCTATCTATCTATCTATCTATCTATCTTTCTATCATCTGTCACCTATCTATATCATCTGTCTGTTGTCTGTCTCTGGGCAGTTCCCAATCAAACATTAAAAGCCACATAAAACCATTTTAAAACTATAAATCTCAACCCATTCCAACATTAACATGGATTTCAAGCAACGCTACTTGAAAGCAGCATTACGGTGCTGTCAGCCCCACGAAACCAGCCACGTCTGTTGTGTGGACGGGGCCTTAAGATTGACCCTTTAGGGTCCACGTCAACCCTGCCGTGCAGGATTTTGCTCTCCCTTCGCCCTCCGAAAGTGCACCCTTGGGTCTTAAGGGCGTGACGCACAGGAACCTGCCATTAAATGCGATGCACCGCCAGATCGGCTAACTAGTTAAGACACAGCGCTTGGCAATTTGCCAGTCTGCTTTAGAGGATTACAAGAAAAACATTTTGCTCACAAAGACCAGGACGTCTAACCAGGATTTAAGAGATGGAAGTTCGCTCTTCTTTATTGGGCTCTTAGTGGCTGATCTTTTATTGTGCTTTTCCTGGCTGATCTGGTTATTCTTTGGGGGGGAATTTTTTTGCTCTTAATGCATCTCCTTGCAAACTCATCAAAAGGATTTAATTCCCAAGACAGCCAGCTTTGTAAATAGGTGGTTTGACTTGGGAGGGGGGGGGAGCAAAATTGATCCAACTAGCTGTATCACCATCCAGCAATCTGAGTCTACCTGGGAAAAAAACAACAACAGGTCCCTACAAGCAAATGTTGTCCCGGGCGCAAAGAATCCTGCATTAAGAATAAGGGTGTGTAATTTAACAGTAGCTTTTCAGTTCATCCGATGAAACATTCTGGGCCCTGTTTATTTTGGGAAGAGGCAGAATTTTCGGTAGCGTCGTTCAGGAAATATTGGAAGGTTAGTCCAATTGCAGTAGCCCACTTTTCCGTAATAACGCAATGAACGACCGACAGTCTCCAGGTTAGCATGTCAGCCGAAGCCCACAAAACCAAGCCAGCTTAAAACTAACCACACCCAGCAGTGATGTGAGTGCAACCTCTGAGGTTAGGATAGTTCTGCTTTGAATGAGCTGTGTGAACCCCAAAGGTGCTTTTTCAATAGGCAACTGGACTTTGTTTTTTCTTTGAAGACGTTTCACTTCTCATTGAAGGAGCTTCTTCAGCTCTGACTGGATGGTGGGGAATGGAAGGATTTATACTCCTTGCAGACAGCTGGTCATTTGGCTTCTTTTAGAGAGTCGTTGAGGCCACCTGAAGGTTTATCTGTAAAGGTTCCACACCCATTTGCACCACTCAGGTGACCCCGAGGACATAGATAAACTCCCAGGTGGCCTCAACAACTACTCTAAAAGATGCAAATGACCAGCTGTCTGCAAGGAGTATAAATCTTTCCATTTCCCCACCATCCAGTCAGAGCTGAAGAAGCTTCTGGGATGAGAAGCGAAATGTCTTCAAAGAAAAAACAAGGAAGTCCAGTTTGAAAAAGCACCTTTGGGACAACAATGACCTGGATGACTGAGAACCTCCATGGATGAGTTGTGTGGATGCAACCTCTGATAACTCTGGGTTGACAAGCAAAGAATGGACGAAAGAGCATTGTCCAGAGAGAAAGATGTACTAAGGAGAAACTATAGCAAGAGCATTTTTAGACTTATATGCTGCTCCCTAGTGCTTCACAGCGGTTTACAATCTCAGCAAATTGCCCCCAACCATTTGGGTCCTCACTGCAGAAATTCTGGCCCGGGGTGAGCAGGTGAATGACCTCAATTAGAAGTCTGTGTTTCTCTGAACGGCTGAATTAAGCTACAGCTTAATCGTACAGGTAGTCCTCGATTATATATAACCGAGTCTAAAATTGCCATTGCTAAGGGAGACAGTTATTAAGTGGGTTTTGCCCCATTTTCTTGCCAAAGTTGCTAAAGGAATCCTGTTGTTAAATTAATAACACGGTTGTTAAACGAATCTGGCTTCCCCCGTTGACTTTGCTTGTCAAAAGGGGAATCGCGTGACAGTCCCTCTGGACACTGCGACCGTCATAAATCCGAGCCAGTGGCCAAGCTTCTTGATTTTGATCAGGTGACCGCAGGGTCATAAGTGTGAAAAGGGCCCTAAGTCCCTTTTTTCAGTGCCGTTGTAACTTGGAACGGTCGCTAAAGGAATAGCTGTAAGTCGAGGACTACCTAACATGGAGACGTCGCTTGCGGTTCCAAGGAAGATCTCCAACCCTGTGGCTCATTGGGGTTCATGAGATTCCTAACAGATCAGCCTGTGTCCCCCCCCCCAGGGCAAAGCTGGAATAAAGCAGCCAGCTTCGAACACAGCCCCATCAATCCTAAAAGGAAAATTAACCTTATATTCCAATGTATGTACAAATACAGTTGGAATTCCAATCAGAACTTTCACTGAATTAAATGTTCAGGGTTTTCATACCGCCTGCTCAAGGATTTAATATTTTCTTTGCCTCCCATGTAAACCTACCACCAATTCACATTAAATATGACTCATTTCCCCCTTCCCCCCATGTATCTTTTTTTAATTGTTCATTTACCCTGTAAACGAATTCCCGGTGTTTCCACAAGAGCTATTTTACACAAGCAGTTTTCTTGAACAAACAAACAAAAGGACAGATTGTGGGAGAAGTTGCAAAAAAAGAAAGAAAGGAAAGGAAAGGAAGAAAAAAAGAAAGACTCCCCCCCCCACAATACCCAGTAATTGCCTTTAACCTCCTCAAAAACCTGCTCCAGAGATCTATTTAAGCTTTCTCGCTGATTCTATTTCCATTACACAGAATAAACAGTTGCTCAGGAGAAGTAGAAAGAACAAGAGACGGGGCCCTCTCTCCCAGCGCACTCCGAGCCTATTAAAATAAAGAAAAGCCTCTATTTGTTTAGCGTTATACAATTGCAAAAATTTCAGGCGTGTGCAAACGTGTCACTCAACCCCGCTCGATTTATCAAAGTCGAAATGCCTTGTCTCGGGAGCTGGGCTCTTTGCTGAACACTATGTCAAGCACTTCATCTTTTTTAAAAGAAAGAAAGAAAGAAAGAAAGAAAGAGAAAGAGAGAGAGAGAAAGGAAGGAAGGAAGGAAAGAAAGAGAAAGAAAGAAAGAAAGAAAGAAAGAAAGAAAGAGAAAGAGAGAAAGGAAGGAAAGAAAGAGAAATAAATAAATAAAGAAAGAAAAAGAAAGAAAGAGAAAGAAAGAAAGAAAGGAAGGAAGGAAAGAGAAAGAAAGGAAAGAAAGAAAGAAAAAGAGAGAGAGAGAAAGGAAGGAAGGAAGGAAAGAAAAAGAAAGAAAGAAAGAAAGAAAGAAAAAGAGAGAGAGAGAGAAAGAAAGAAAGAAAGAGAGAGAAAGGAAGGAAAGAAAAAGAAAGAAAGAGAAAGAAAGAAAGAGAGAGAGAAAGGAAGGAAGGAAGGAAAGGAAGGAAAGAAGAAAGAAAGAAAGAAAGAAAGAAAGAAAGAAAGAAAGAAAGAAAGAAAGAAAGAAAGAAAGAAAGAAAAGGAAACCTAAACTTTGGGATATTTCTGCATTCTTACTCTCGTCTCTGTTCACGTCAGACAGTCCATCTGAAAAGCCATCCCAGTGTGCATACCTATACACTCACAATCACACAAACACACTGAGAAGTCTCCGTTTGTTTCCTTCTTGTGGAGAAAACATTGCGGTGACTTTCCGTGGAACAGCCTTGTCGTGAAGGTGGGGGTTAAAAGGTATTTCTGAATCTCCAGGTGACTTCAGAGCAGGAGACATTAAAAAAAAAAAAAAAAGAGAACAGAACAGAATTGGAAGGGACCTTGGAGGTCTTCTAGTCCAATCCCCTGCTCAAGCAGGAGAGCCGATACCATTTCAGACAAATGGTTGCCCAATCTCTTCTTAAAAACCTCCAGTGTTGAAGCACCCACAACTTCTGGAGGCAAGCCGTTCCACTGATTAATAGTTCTCACCATCAGGAAGTTTCTCCTTAGTTCTAGGTTGCTTCTCTCCTTGATTAGTTTCCATCTGTTGCTTCTCGTCCTGCCTTCAGGGGCTTTGGAGGGTCAACCTCTTGTTGACCCTCCTCTTCTTTGTGGCAGCTCCTCAGATATTGATACACTGCTGTCACGTCACCCCTAGTCTTTCTTTTCATTAAGCTAGACATACCCAATTCCAATAAAAAGAACAACCAGATCCAATATTCTCTTCATTAGTTGGGGCATTATAACTCCAAGGTGTCCTGAGGCAGCTTAAAGATCAAGCAGTTTAGTATCTCAAGCTTCCTCTTTGGTGGACCACAACCCACTTCATCAGAAAGTCTTGCATCTGAATTAAAGTATCTGAGATAGTTCCATCTTTCCATCTGAAGACAAAGATAGCTCTGTGTCCAGAGCACACAACAACAGCTACAGCTACTTAGCTTAGCGGCTCCCATCTTGGTGAAATAGAGTCAGAGGATCCCTTGAACCTTCTCCTCACGGTGGTAGGAAGCTTATTTTTCCTCCTTCTGAATTTCTAGAGTAAGGACAACCTAGATCAGTGTTTCTCAACCTTGGCAATTTTACAATGTGTGGACTTCAACTCCCAGAATTTTCCAGCTAGCGTTGCTAGCTGGAGAATTTTGGGAATTGAAGTCCACACATCGTAAAGTTGCCAAGGTTGAGAAACACTGACCTAGATGCTTTTTAAGACTGGGGGGCTATCTCCCAGCACCAAACACAAAATGAAGAAAGTGACAGAAGGGGGAAAAGATAGAGTAGATGACTCTGTGTCAATTAATGTAGAATAGAGAAGGTTAGCTTCTACATTCTACACTGAATGCAGAATTGATATTGACCCTCAATTCTACACTGAACGTAGAATGTAGAATTCTGCGATCCAGAATGTAGAAGGCTAGCCCGAAGTTGTGTGGTTTGCTCCCCTTCTCTACAGATGCTGGACCTAATGAACTGAAACATCTGGGCACTGCACCTGTCCTTGCATAGGGAACCTGATCCCTGTGCCTTTATAGTTCCGTTGTAAAGTAGGTTTCATGCTTTCACTCTGCAACGTCAGGAGTGCAAGAACGGGAACAGAATGAAACTGATATACGGCATGACGTAATGGAATACGTGGGTGACCTTGGGGGATGGGGGGAAAAGATGCTGCCTAGGAAACAATCAGACAAGAGCGGCAGGGCCCCCCTCCAGCGGATTAAACAATCAGAGGAAGAAATTTAGGAAGGACCCACCTTAATTGCTCAGGCAATTAAAAAGGGGCGGGTGGGAAGTTTGTACCTTGGGGCCCGCGAGATGCTGTTATTGTAACTTTTACAATAAAGTAGAAGTTTAGTTCATCTAGACAGGTTTCCTGTCTAGTTTACCCAGGGAAGGCTGGAGACACGCCAAGAAATTCCTAAGCCTAGGTGAAGGGGAACTTGCAGCTATCTCGACAGAATGGTATGTGAGAATGACCTTGAGGGAGAAAGGAAGAGTTGCAGACTGAACAAACAGCATGGACAACATTTCCCAGCCCAACAGGAGGAGAGAGGGTGTGGGAAAAAGTTCGCGAGGGACCCTCCCTAGTTTTCTGGGGAGTAGAAGAGGAGAGGGGGGAAATGCTTTGTCTTGCCACATTCTGTTAGTGTAACCTTGCAAAGCAGGTCATCCTCGACTTACCACCACAGCCGGAGCACAACATTTCTGCTCCTCTTGAGACAGTGGCTAAAGGGAGTTTTGTGCCATTTTCACAACCTTTTCGGCCACAGTTGTTATCCAAACTAACAAAATAGAATCTAGAACAGAGTAGCTTACTCCAGGGCATCACCTGGATTTACACAACCTGCAGAATGAATTTGGACGATGGCTTAACAAATTTATCGTTAAGAATCATCCTTGCTGAATCAGGCAAAAAAAAAAAAGGCCAATTAGATGTCTCTGCAAAGCCAGGGGATTCTGGGAGTTGAAGTCCACCTGTGTTAAAGTTGCCAAGTTTAGAGGCCCCTGCCCTACACATTTACACTGCAGAGGCCACTAACTAGAGTCCTGGAGATGTCACACGTCACTGATCCCTTCTTATACTTTCTCCCCTGCTCCCCTTCCCTGTTCTATCATGTGCTGCAGATATACTGGACAGTCGACGGGAATATGAACGGGAATCGGCTAGTGGGACACCACTCCACGCTGATCCAACTCATCAGCAGCTCATGTCTCGGGTGTTAAGTCCAGCACTCCCGGTTCCCGGTGGAGGCGGCTTGGTTCCACTTCCTAGTCCAGCTGGAAGCCGGCCTAGTCCCCCCCATCACGAGTTGCGGCTGGAACCCCCTGCTTCCGAGCCTCTCCATCACCACCCCTACAAGCATCCGGTCTCAGCTTACGACCATTATCTAGGAGCCAAGAGCCGGCCAGCCCCCTATCCCTTGCCCACTATCCGGGGACACAGTTACCACCATCACCACCACCATCACATGAATCCAGCTGCTGCTGCTGCTGCGGCTGCGGCCGCCGCTGCCGCCAACATGTATTCCTCTGCTGGCGCTCCCACAAGCTACGACTACGGACCGAGATAACATCTCCGATGCAAGATCCTTGAGCTCGGATCGACTCTTTGCATGGTGTGAATTGCTCAGTACCTTTGGGAAGAGATGCCCGTTTTGTTGACTTGGGGTGGGGGGTGGGGGAAAATCCGCCATCGTCCCTTGTGCGCACGATTTTCTTCCTGGCACTATCCTTCCACCACCGTTGTTGGACACATCGTTCAAGATTTGCGTTGTCTTGTTCCATCCGGGGGATGTAATATTTAGCTCGTGTTAGAGGCGTTGTGGTGGAGTGATGGGAGGCTGGCGTTCTCTTGGACTTGCTTTGCGTCGTCGCTGCTGTGAGGCTAGAAGGGCAGTTTCTCCTCTCCTCGGCCTTTCCCTTGACCCGTTCATGTGCAGCTGCAGTTCCCAACTCCCTTACGTAACCCACAAAGTGTTAGGGTGTGTCATTTCCTGGCTGCTCTAGCACTGATACAGTGCTATACAGAACCGTTTAGTGACTTTTCAAAGTTACAACGGCCCTAAAAACAAGTGACTTAACGGCTGTTCTTCACACTAACGATCATTGCAACAGCCACCCTAGTCACGGGATCAAAATTCGGGCGTTTAGCAACTGGCATGTACTTGTGACAGTTGCACTGTCCTGGGATTAGCTTCCAACAAGCAAAGTCAATTGAGGGGAGGGGGGGTGGAGAGCCAGATTCACGTAATGACAGCATGATTCATTTAACAACTACAGCGATTCGCTGAACGACTGTTTGCAAAAGTCATAAAATGAGGCACAACTTAACGGCTGCCCTGCTTAACAACAGAAATGTTGGGCTCAATTGTGGTCGTAAGCCAAGGACCACCTGTATGTTCCCCATTGCCCAGTTACTGTTCTTCCCAGTGGGGACCAAGTCATCTACCAGGACTCGTTTTACAATGTTGGTGATCCAATCTCAGCTATCTCTATTGGGAAGAAGGTGGGAGCAACTGATTGGCACAATAGTCTACTTCTACTACCTGGAGAGCTTGCCCCATTTGGGTATGGCTCAGGAATTCTGGGAGCTGAAGTCCACAGGTCCTAAAGGGGCCATGGTTCCCCTACCCCCGGAGTAGACCAATCTGCATTACAAATATGCTGGAACAATAGCAATAGCCCTTAGACTTATATATTGCGTCATCGTGCTTTACAGCCCTCTCTAAGCGGTTGACAGGGTCAGCCTATTGTCCCCAACAATCTGGGTTCTCATTTTACCGACCTCAGAAGGACGGAAGACTGAGTCAACCTTGAGCTGGTCAGGATCAAACTGCTGGCAGTCGGCAGAGTTAGCCTGCAATACTGCATTCTAACCACTGCGCCACCATGGCTGTAGAATAGAACAGAACGGCAATAGCATTAGCACTTAGACTTATATACCGCTTCACGGTGCTTTACAGCCCTCTCTAAGCGGTTTACAGAGCCAGCCTCTTGCCCCCCAACAATCTGGGTCCTCATTTTACCGACCTCGGAAGGACGGAAGGCTGAGTCAACTTTGAGCCGGTCAGGATCGAACTGCTGGCAGTGGGCCTGCAGAGTTAGCCCGCAGTGCTGCATTCTAACCACTGCGCCACCCTGGCTCTTGTACACCCGTCTGCCTGCCTCCCTAACACAATCAAGATCAACTGCCTACAGTTCCTTCAGCCTTCTGAGTGACGGGCACAGCTGGCGATTGTCAGAGCGTGCCGTCTCTCCTGACCTGGAGCCAGCTGTCACACGGGGGCATGTGCTTGGCATATGCAAGCACATGACTGGCATGGGCAGGGCGCGCACTGACATGTCGACTGTGGCATCTCTTGATCCCCTGCCACACAGCCCCGCCTGATCCAGGCCCCCGTTTTGGGCCGGTGCCTTGTCCTTAAGTCCTGGAATTCTCATTGTCACTAACAAGGCATCTGGGAAGGCCGGCCAACCCCGCCCACCAGAAGCATGGATTTCATGAATACAGGTGGTTCTCGACTTACAACCGTTCGTTTAGTGTCCGTTCTGAAAAAAAAAGGGACTTCTGACATCCCCACGGTCAGGTGACCGAAATTCACACGCTTGGCAATGGACTCACATTTACGACGGCCGCAGTGTCCCCGGGGGGGAGTCACGTGATCTCCCCCTTCTGCGACAAAAGCAAAGTCGACGGGGGAAGTCCGACTCGCTTAACGAAGGTGTTTGCGAACGTCACCAATTGTGGCGATTGACTTAAACCACGGCGGCAAGGAAGGTCATCAAACGGGGGGGCCAAAAACCCGCCTCGCTTAGCGACAGAAATTGGTGTTCGTAAGCCGAGGACTATCTGCATTCCCCATCCCAACAGTGTATTAGAGGCAGTGGGTGCCAATGGGAGGGGTGAAAAAAAACTCTGTTCCCCAAGGGGGAACCTCTGAGAGAACATCCCCCCCTCCACCTCCAAGAAGCAGGAGAGTTTTTTTTTTAGAAGGTCAAGGGTCTTTATTTATTTATTTATCCCCCCCCCCCCGGCAGTCGGCTGAGATGTGGCTTAGCATCTGTAAGCACCCCACAACGGAATAAACAAGAGTGGGAAGGGACCTTAAGAGGTCTACTAGCCCAACCCCCTTCCCCAAGCTGGAATAAAACCAATGTTTCTTTGGATTGCCTCTTCCCTGGAACTAAAACACCTATCCGTTCACAAGGACGAGGAGTACTAGCATCGTCCTCTTAAAGAGTAAGTTAGCCAGGTTAGGGGCGGTTGGGAGGGGTGTGTGAAGAGGTGTCACCATCCAATGCTCCTCTTCACACACACACCCCTTTAGTCTTTTATCTGGGTGCAAGAACCACAGGACGAGAAATCAGAAATCCTCAAAGGCAGAAGCTGCCCACCTTAGCGGTCTCTGTACCTACGATACTGGAATTCCTAGTGGATGGACTGGAGAGAGGTCTATCCCTGAACACCATCCGTAGGCAGGTAGCAGCCCTCGCTACAGTAATCACGTGCGACAACACTATCCCCCTAGCGCAGCATCCCATGGTTTGCTCCTTCATCAGAGGAGCTTCCAACGCATGCCCACCGACGGTACATCGATATCCCTCGTGGGAGCTTCACCGAGTTCTAATACAATTCTTCACAAGGGTCACTCTTTCGGCTTTTTTTCTTTTGTAAAGGATGCCTTCGTTTTTGGATTAATAGACGCCTTTCTTCGCCATTTCTGACACGGCCTATACTGGCCCAGGTCTGGAAAAATAACTTTCTTTCTCTGTGCCTTTCAATTCCACCGTCTGCAGCTTCTTGTTCACCATGGCTCAGTGTTTCTGGCCTCTCTCTCCTCCCCACCCCCAAAATGCAGAAGCTTAAAATCCCAGGATAATATCAGCAGCCAAGCATGCTATTTTTTGGGCAGCCTTCAGGACAGGTGCGGGCATAAACCAGCTGTAGCCTTTATACATTTTTCCCCCCCTATTGTTTTATCCAGTTGAGCAGTGGCAAAGCAAAAGAATACAGCAGCTGACAAACCTCACGCCGTAAAACCGTAGGGCACAAAATGAAAAATTTGGTTTGCTTTGTTTTTTTTTAAACTGTAGGATCCTTTTAAGAACCTGTGTAAGATCCATTTGGAAGAATCTGGCTGTCCTGCGTGCGTCGTAACTTTGAGAAAGCAATTTTCTCTCCTTTTTTTTTTGTGTGTGTGTTCTGCTTGGTGATCTCGAACGTCGTGGAAGGACTTTGGTCTCTCGAAACGGATCAGTGCCAAAGGCTGGAGTCAAACCTATTGTGACATTGGTATATTTATTAATATTATATTATTCCCATCCCCACTCCACCCCCCCTCAAGTGATTACGTATGCAGTTCCTACTGGTTCTTTTTTTTTTTTCCTTTATAGTTGCTGTGTAAAGAGAAAGAGTGGGGAAAAAAATCGGTGCAACCAAAGAATCATATCTGCAAAATATGTAGATAATTTGTAGATAATTTGTAGATATGTGTAGATAACACTGGGGGAGGGGTAGAAGGGAAGATGGCAGGCAGTAACGTTTATAAACAGTATTTCTCTGAGTTTTTGCTTTATCTGATTATTTTTTTCCCCCCCACATGGAGGTTCCTGGGTGCGATGTCTGTTGCAAAACATCAGCCCGGCATTCTTGTATTTATTTTATATTTTATCGATCAAATTTAGAGACTGTCTATCTCACTCACCGGGCGACTCTTTGCATTAAAGACTCTTTTAGGAAAAAGTGCAGAGAAGAGCAACAAAGATGATTAGGGGACTTGAGGCTAAAACGTACGAAGAACGGTTGCAGGAATTGGGAATGTCTACTCTAATAAAATAAAGGACTAGGGGTGACAGGAGAGCAGTCTTCCAATATCTCAGGGGCTGCCCCAAAGAAGAGGGAGTCAAGCTATTCTCCAAAGCACCTGAAGGCAGGACAAGAAGCAACGGATGGAAACTAATCAAGGAGAGAAGCAACCTAGAACTAAGGAGAAATTTCCCAACAGAACAATTAATCAGTGGAACTCCTTGCCTCCAGAAGTTGTAGGGACTCCATCACGGGAAGTTTTCAAAAAGAGACTGGACAGCCATTTATCTGAAATGTTATAGGGCAGTGATGGCGAACCTTTTAGAGACCGAGTGCCCAAACTGCAACCCAAAACCCACTTATGCATCGTCGGGTGCCGGGTGCGTGTAGCCCATTGGCTGGGCGTGGCTGCGGTGGTAACGGCAGACTGGGTGGGACTAAAAAGTTCAATCAATCAATTCCAACTTTGCAAGATCTTTTTTTTTCCTGAATTGATTGATTGAACCTTTTTTTTTTTGCACATGGCAGCGGAGGCCTAAAGCGAAAAGGTTTTATAAAACCCAGCTGAAGGCCTAGGATTGGGGCGACGGCTTGCGTGCCCACAGACAGGGCTCTGCGTGCCACCTGTGGCACGCTACATATATATATATATATCCAGTGAGAACCTACACAAGTCTTTAAGTGGGTTTTGAAACCAGAGACAGATGTTTGGGAAATAAACCCCTGAGATTTCATCTCCTAGCCTATGACATCCCAACGGTTTGTAAATGTCA